ATGCATGGAAGAGAAGGAAGATCAAAAGTAAGTCAAAATAGTATATGATGAGTAACTCCAATGAATAGCAATGATAACGGATTGTGTTGTCGTTGTGAAGTGCAGTGATGAGAAATGAATTAGCCTACTTCTACTGAAATGCGAGTATTTAAAGAATTATTTATTTCCTGTTAATATTATAGCACACACAAACTTTGTAGTAAAGTATATGTACGTTTATTCTAATACCAATCAATAAGTTTAATAAGCCAATGTTTGAGGTAAGCGTGACGAGACAATGAACATAATAAAAATCTTCAGAGGATTATTTTTCTTTTAAGAAAATTAGAGGGTTTTCTTTATTTTACATAATTCCAGAAACAACACCAGCAGCCGCTTATCACAAAGACACTACTTCCTAGGCATTGAGTACTTATGCCAAGAGTTTATAAGACTTCACTTGGTTCGATAGACAAAACCCGTTTTTGTGTGTTTGTGTGGTGTGTTGTGGCGAAACATCGTTGAGTCGGTGACATCTTGCTTATGTCAGCTCTGTTCTTAGGAAGCAGGCGAGCGAGTACGTGTGAATTTAAGTATTAAGTCTATTCTTACAATGATATTGAGTTTCACAAAGTTATTGATTTATAAGGGGAATAATTTTCACCTGGAGATGAAGTACTGACCTTCTTCTCGAGGAGGAGGCAAGTGAGCAACTGTGAGAAACACTACGAAGCAAGACTGCGAGAGTTACGAGTCTGAGATCGTCTGAACATGTGTTCATTACGGGGGACTTCATGCGGGTGGGGGACTGTTGATTTCACTGGTTATATTACGGCCGTCAATGGAGAGAAGAGGAGAGCATAAGAATTCTTATCTTTCTTTAGCTTTCGAAGGTGAAGATGCTTTAGATTTAGATAGTAAAGTGAGTTTAATTAATATGCGTCAAACTGAAGTCGGGCGGCATTCAAACACATGAGGTTTAGGGGGGGGGAGATGTTGTGGTGGTTTAAATTCAAAGTTTACGAAATTAATTTTTAAAGGTGGGCAGGCATGGCGTATTTTGCCTTCACAGATATGATTGTCAGTGTACACTATGGTTATGGGTGGAGCCTTTAGGTTAGTAAGGCTTATTACATAAAATATGAGCCAAAGTAAATAGAGGGGAATCATCATACATCGGCATGATCGATGACGTAAAAAAAGAAGGTAACTATGACAACAAGATCAACTTCTTTTTCTTGAGATCTCTTTAGCTTCGTAGAGCTTAAATCTCTTCACCACCAGGACGTACATATACTGTCATGGCATGTAAGCTTATACCCCAAGGAAAGTAGTTTTTTTTTTGTCTGTGCTTAGGGTAACATGTGCTTGCATCTGTGCTTAGGGTAACCTATGCTCTTGCGTGCCAGAGACAAGTCATCGGCGTGCCAAGTTTAGCACGCGTGCCAGAGGTTGCCCACACCTGGTATAGATTCATTTCTCTCAATGTTTGCTGACGATGTCAAAATTATGAGAAGGATTAAGACAGAAGAGGATTGTTTAAGGCTTCAAGAAGACCTAGGCAAACTGAAGGAATGGTCGAACAAATGATTGTTAGAGTTTAACCCAACCAAACGTAATGTAATGAAGATAGGTGTAGGGAGCAGGAGGCCAGATACAAGGTATCCTCTGGGAGAGGAAATTCTTCAGGAGTCAGAGAAAGAAAAAGACTTGGGATATCATAGTATATCACCTATACTGTATAGGCGTGATATCACAGTATATCACCTATACTGTGATATCACGCCAGACCTGTCTCCTGCAGCCCATATCAAGAGGAAAACATCCACGGCATATGCCAGGCTGGCCGACATACGAACGGCTAGCAAACTTGTGTAACAACACACACTATCAACAAGAAATCGCATGTAGGCGAGGATACGTGGAGAGCCAAACTATTGGAGGTGGTGACTAAAAACTTTTTAACCCAGCATGTCAGAGAACCCACAAGGATGAGAGGAAATGACCTAGTCTTCACTCTGAACGACTCTGACATAAGAGAAATCGATTTGGAGGCCCCCGTAGGAATGAGCGACCACAGTGTACTAGTGTTTGAGTACCTGATTGAGGAAGAGTTATTGAACTCGAGGAGGGATACTGAAAACATAAGATTGGCATACCGAAAGGAAAAGTATGAGGAGATAAAAAAAAAATCCTAACAGATATAGTATGGGAAACAGAGCTCAGAGGAAAGACGGACCAAGACTTGATAAACTACATAGCGCAGAAGTGCAAGGAAGCAGAAAACAAGTTTGTCCCAGTCCAAAAGGAAAGCAGTGAAATAATGATGAGAAACCCATGGTTTAATCAGAGATGCAGGATAGCTAAGCAGCAAAGTAAAACGGCATGGAGAAACTATAGGAATAACAGAACACTTGAGAGCAGAGAAAGATACCAGAGTGTCAGGAATGAATATGTCAGGATGAGAAGAAAGGTAGAAAGACAATGCGGAAATGACATCGCAAGCAAGGCAAAGACTCAGCCTAAATCGCTGCACAGCTACATCAGGAGAAAAACAACAGTAAAGGAACAGGCTATGAAATTAAGGGTAAGGGCAGAAGGATTCTCTACAAACGACAAGGAAGTGTGTGAGGAACTGAATAAGAAATTCCAGGTCTTCACCTTAGAGCAAGGAGAAATTCCAGAGATAAGAGAGGGAATAGTTAACCAGGAACCACTGGAAGAGTTTGAAATTACCAGCGGGGAAGTAAGGAAGTGTTTACTAGAGTTAGATGTGACAAAGGATATTGGCCCAGATGGAATCTCCCCTTGGATACTAAAGGAAGGAGCAGAAGAACTGTGCCTGCCACTCTCCATAGTGTATAACAAACCACTGACAATAGGGGAACTGCCAGAAATTTGAAAAGCAGCAAACGTAGTCTCGATATACAAGAAAGGGGATAGACAGGAGGCACTGAACTACAGGCCAGTGTCCCTAACCTGCATACCATGCAAGCTGATGGAGAAGATTGTGCGAAGAAAGCAAGTGGAACATCTAGAGTGAAAGATCTTTGTAAAACAGCATCAACATGGGTGCAGGGAGTGCAAGTCCTGCCTCACAGGGTTACTTGAATTCTACGACAAGGCAACAAAATTCAGGTAAGAAAGAGAAGGGTGGGCAGACTACATATTTTTGGATTGCCAGAAAGCCTTTGATACAGTACCACACAAGAGGCTAGTGAAAAAACTGGTGATGCAGGCTGGAGTGAAAAGGAAGGTACTCCATTGGATAAAGGAGTACCTTATCAACAGGAGACAACGACTCAGTGTGAGGGGTGAAGTCTCAGATTGGCGAGACGTTACAAGTGGAGTCCCGCAGGGGTAAGTCCTTGGACCTATACTGTTTCTGATATATGTAAATGATCTCCCAGAGGGTATAGACTCGTTTCTCTCAATGTTTGCTGATGATGCAAAAACTATGAGGAGGATTGAAACAGAGGATGATAGTAGGAGGCTACAAGATGACCTAGACAGACTGAGTGAATTGTCTAACAAATGCTGTTGAAGTTCAACCCGAGTAAATGCAAAGAAATGAAACTAGGCAGTGGAAACAGGAGGCCAGACACAGGATACAGAATAAGAGATGAAGTACTGAATGAAACGGATAGAGAGAAAGATCTAGTAGTTGATATCACACCAAACCTGTCTCCTGAAACCCACATAAAAATAATAACGTCAGCGGCATATGCGAGGCTGGCTAACATATGAACAGCGTTCATGAACCTTTGTAAGTAATCATTCAGAATCTTGTATACCATATATGTAAGACCAATATTGGAGTATGCGGCCCCAGCATGGAGCCCGTACCTTGTCAAGCACAAGACGAAGCTGGAAAAGTTCAAAGGTATGCCACTAGAATAGTCCCAGAATTAAGAGGCATGAGTTACGAGGAAAGGCTGCGGGAAATGCACCTTACGACACTAGAAGACAGAAGAGTAAGGGGAGACATGATCACAACCTACAAAATCCTCAGGGAAATCGACCGGGGAAACAAGGATAAACAATTCAACACTGGTGGTACGCAAACAAAGGGACACAGGTGGAAACTGAGTACCCACATGAGCCACAGGGACGTTAGGAGGAACTTTTTCAGTGTCAGGGTAGTTAACGGATAACATGCATTTGGCAGTGATGTGGTGGAGGCTGACTCCATACACAGTTTAAAATGTAGATATGATAGAGCCCAGTAGGCTCAGGAATCTGTACACCAGTTGATTGACAGTTGAGAGGCGGGACCAAAGATCCAAAGCTCAACCCCAGCAAGCACATATTGGTGAGTACACACACACACACACACGGGGAGCCGGTGGCCGAGTGGACAGCACGCTGGAGACGTGATCCTGTGGTCCTGGGTTCGATCCCGGGCGCCGGCGAGAAACGATGGGCAGAGTTTCTTTCACCCTATGACCCTGTTACCTAGCAGTAAATAGGTGCCTGGGATTAAGTTAGCTGTCACGGGCTGCTTTCTGGTGTGTGTGTGTGTGTGTGTGTGTGTGTGTGTGTGTGTGTGTGTGTGTGTGTGTGTGTGTGTGTGTGTGTGTGTGTGTGTGTGTGTGTGTGTGTGTATGTTTGTGTGTGTGTGTGGTGTGAAAAAAAGAAGAAAAATAGTAGTAGAAACAGTTGATTGACAGTTGAAAGGCGGACCGAAAGAGCAGACCTCAAATCCCGCAAGCACAACTAGGTGAATACAATCACACACACACACACACACACACACACACAGGGGAAGGTGAACCAGCCATACTTGATCTGATATTTACCCTAAATGAGTGGGATATAAGGGAAGTTAAGTTGGAAGCCCCCTTCGGAATGAGTGATCACAGTGAATTGATCTTTGAGTACTTGGTAGAGCTAAGACTTATCTCCCCAAAAACAGAACTAGGAAACAAAAGGCTGGCTTACCGAGAGGGGAATTATGAGAAGTTTGCTATCGGACACAGAACTCAGAGCGAAGTCTGTACAAGACATGATGGACTATGTCA